TCAGAATAGCAAAGTACTCAGATTTCAGTTCTGGATCAGAACCAGAAATACTTTAATTTCACTTTAAATACTTTAATAATCCCAGAGGGAAATTATAGTTCTGCTGCCATAATTCTGAAAAGGACAGGGTAGGGAAAAAGGCAAAAAAAAAGAGAATATTATCCATATTAAACCGGTTATTCCCATTCAAATAGACAGGGTTTCCACCACCATGAACTCCACTTTAAAGCTGACTGTATCTACAGAGGCAGTCCAGGTATCGAAAGAAAAAAAACAGGGTTTCTCTGTCTAAGAGCAGCAGCTGAGTCTGTGAGGCAGAAAGCTGCTGATAGCTTCTACAGTACAGTCTTCCCACCGGTAGCAGCGTTTCAGCGAGCGCCATCCCACAAAAAAAACCGACAACGGGTTTAGCGGGAGCTGTCCGGGGTGCTGAACCTCCTGCTCTTCAGTCAGTAAAAACCTCACAACTCACTCACACAGCCAGTAAAACGCACATCTAATGCAGAAAAGGACTCATTTTTCTCATAAAGGGGAATAAAACTGCAATTTTAAAAACATGTAAAAAAACGTGTGTAGAAAAAAGTTATTTCATTTTGTGATTTAGGAATTTCAATGATGATGGCGATGATGATATCCTTAAGAAATATCAAATAGTTCAAAGTCTGGTTCCTCTGTTATGACGTTTTGGTGTTATGACGACATGTGAAACATTTATACGGGTTGAGTCAAAAGTAACTAAAATAAACTAAAGGGAACTTCTAAAGGGATCTGACACATCTGAATTAATAATGGCTGAGGGGGCCTATCTTTTACACTACGTCCTGCACACGTCCACCATCTTTAAAGCCGCCATGTGGTTAAGGAGCGAATCAAAGAATAGTGGAAATGGCTCAGGAATCGATTTTTGCTATCGGATTAACAACATCTCCTCTGGCTCAAAAGTTCTGGACCATAAACCATTTGGAAATGTCAGATATGAGGCGGGCGTTTGACGGGTTCTGTCCGTGGTGCTGAACCCATCAGACAGCTGTTGAAAAGGCCTTCAAAAGCAAGTCCTGATCCAGGAGAGAAGTCTGATGTGATGCAGAATAACCCAGATAAGGAGGAGGGTTGCGTGGAGCACCCTCGAAAAGGGTGATTTAATTAAAGCAGACCGTGGGTGATTGGAACAGAGAAAGCAGGGAAGAAAGAGATTAGCGAGATCGGAGATGTTGAAAGTGAGGACAGAATTTTTTTGACAGCGCCGGGAAATGTGAGTAAAGAGGACATTACACCCACAGGGACTTTCAACATTCAGCCCAAGGAATGAGAAAGGGAGAAGTGGTCTGTGCTGACAACGAAAACATGCAAGAAAGGTCACTTTTTTTGCTCGGAGATCCTGCTGTTGGGCTCCTGGATAAAACCGGACTATGGAAAAAACAGTTTTTAGACGTGTCCCAGACGTTAAACATGGTTTATTTAAAACGTTTAGCTCTGCACAGGCATATTAAACCTGCATTATTCTGAATTAGGGGTGTTTTTAAGCAGTTTAAAAAAAAAGTGGATACACCACATGTTGAGGCCATTTCTCCCAAAAACCACAGAGAGTCTTGCCCCCGTTATCAGGATTTCCTCTGTCTCCATTTGTGGTCTTAAACTTCATGGACAGAGTTCCTGGCAGGTATTTTTAATCTTTTTTCCCTTAGCTCTGCTCTTTGTATGAGCCCCAGTCCCATTGGACTGGATATGAGACAAGGCACCTTTTTTTTTATTTAAAAAGGAAACTCAAGAGCTTTTGCCTTAAAGAGGGAGAAATGGCTCAGTTTAGGCTGAGAGTGAGCTGCAGCCGGCGTGAAGCATCGTAAGACGCCGTGCACAAGTGGGAATGGTGGAAAGCGGGTATTGGACGGGGGTGGGGGGGGGTCTGAGAAGCATCTGAAGAGCTGAAGAGGCCGTTTACCTGTCTGAGCTGAAAGGAGAAGCAGTACTTTTACTGTTTTCCTCTGTTCCGGCCCCTCGGACATGGTTGCGATCTCCAATACTAGCTGAAATAAGACCAAAAAGGGGGGGTTTGGAGAGGTTGCATGATGGTGTTGGACAGGAGGGTGTCAGGGGTAGAGAACCTCCTCCCTCTGGACCCAACGGAGGTGTTTTGGATCTCTGGTCAGGGTCTCTGATTGCTTCATTTTCCTAAAATCAAGACACGATTGACATTCTCTGTGAAGGTGTTAGAACCAGCTCGTTAAAGGAAAATGGACGCAACACAAACCAGATGTTATTGGTATTGACAAAAGGTTACTTGTCAACTAAGGGAAAGATTCATGGCAAAGAACATAAAGACGGCAATCAAATCCCCCCAAAAAACGTGGTAACAAAACAGAACACAAGCTAACTGCAGGATCCAAGGCAGTACGAACAACCAAACAAAAACTAGAATTATTCAAAACAGTCTAAATTAAATTCAAGTGCCACAGCACAGTTCCAAAACAACATCCTGTCAGAGGAGCCGGCGGGTGGCCTCTCCTGATTGGTCTGAAAGGACAAAATGGGATAGTTAGCAGGTTCCATATCGAGGGGGATATGGATACGCATTCCCTCATAAATCCTCCCCCGAAAGAAGAAAAACCACGAAACGCCAGATCCCTCTGAGCTGTGACATGTTAAGTTGCTCTCATCCCTCTGATGGAAAGCGGCTTCATGTCTCCAGTGCGTCGGGAGCCTTGACGGACGGGAGCATTTGTGCTTGAAATTGACTGAGTCGTTCGAATGGACAAAGCCAGTGGCAGCGGGTTTTGTCTGTTTCTGATACGGAAACGTGCTCCACAAAGGCCTGTCGGGTTCATGACGAAGCAATCCGCCAAAACACGTCCCCGAAACTTTGGGAGCTTTCACAATCACAATCAGAATCAGAAATACTTTAATAATCCCAGAGGGAAATTATGTTTTTATACTAACTCCAGAAATAAAACAACAGCATATACATATATACATGTCTATACATGTATACAGATAGATAGATAGATAGATAGATAGATAGATAGATAGATAGATAGATAGATAGATAGATAGGTAGATAGGTAGATAGATAGATAGATAGATAGATAGATAGATAGATAGATAGATAGATAGATAGACTAAATCAGGAGGAAAAAGACAGAAAATAAACACAAAAAGACCCAGAACAAAGCTAAACCATCCAAAACCAACCTAAAAAGCAAAAATAAATAAATAACAGAGCCAAAAAGACCCCAAAACAGAACAAAAAATACCAAAAATAGGCAAAAAAAGACCAAGAACACACCTAAGATATAGATAGATAGATAGATAGATAGATAGATAGATAGATAGATAGATAGATAGATAGATAGATAGATAGATAGATAGATAGATAGATAGATAGATACCAAATTCCACACAGAATCTAAAGAAATATATATATATAAGTAACTATATATATATATAGGTAAAAGATAAGTGATAGTGATAATGTCAATAATTTAGTTTCTTCTGATGAAGAAAATATAGATATTATATATATATTTTGATTATAATTGTTCATGTTTTGTGTCCTCCTCTGGGGGAAAAGTGGCTGGACAGGGTTGAAGAATCTGTTGGTGGCTCATGTGGAGGAAGGCAGAAGCCAAATGCCTCTGGTCAGCCTCTGCCCTCCTTTGTCCACTCGACCAAAACCCCCTTTTCCAGCTTCCTGACTGGTTAGAAGTCCGTGTTGGGGTCGGGCTTTGCCGTTCCAGCTTGTGTGGCAGCAGACAATCAGATGATTGATGATCTTATCTCTAATGACTCACCTGGATAGTTTATTCCTCAGGGAGGAAGAAGTTTCCTTTAACGATGGATTTCTAATTACATCAGTAGATGTTTATTTGATGTCGGGCTTTATTTTTTAGTGGCATTACAACACATAGCCGACACTTTTAAGCTCTGGACGTGTTAGTATTTCTTTCTTGGCACTGAATCAAACTCTTTTGGATAGATTTGCCAAACGTCCTCCATAGACGTGCCAGAAATCCTGCTCTTCAGGTGTTTATAATTGGCAGTTAACACCATCTCTTCCACCTTTCAGTCAAATTACTCAGCCTTCAAGGTGCTCATGCATGCCGTGTTCTCCAGGGAAGTGACATTCCACCCCTATTTATACTAAAAGCTCCGAGTGGCTGTCAGTCTTTACCTTTTTTCGTGTGGAACTCACATCTCTGATCTGCAGACGCTCTTATGCAACGCGCCATTAAAGCTCGGCGGCCTCCTGACTCCCTCCACTGTTAGCTTGATGACACATTGAGCAGCCAGTCAGTCAAGCTGACGGCGCGTGGTGACATTTCTAAGAACAGGATGAGGGGATTCATTATGCGTTTAAGTAAAAAAAAAAACAACTAAGTTCTTCATTATAGGTCAGAAGACGGATTCAAACCCGGGTGTATTTAGTAAAAGCTGTTTTTTAAGTGTTTTTTTTAGCTTTGTATGAGAGACTCTGTGAAAATATGTAGAGATGCTTAATTTCTCCCAATATTAAAGGGCCAGATGCGTGGATTTAAGTATGAGCCACAGGATAGTGCATCCTGCCACTATTCCCGTTTTCGGGGACGCTCTAACCATTGCATTTAGCTCCAGTTTTGTTGATTTGTTCTCACATCTGAGATATTTATTTCTGCATTTGCAAATTTTTTAATGTGAATGTGAAAAAAAGTGGGAAAAAACTAGGCAATCCAGATCATTTCACCATCAGAAGCCCCACTTTCTGGACTTTTTTAATATGAAAATGCGTCTGCCTGTTGTTCCTGACTGATTCCTCTGCTGGATGGGGCTATAATGGAATGCAAATGATAATAAAAAATAATGATTTGATGCCTCAGTTGGTGTCGGATGTGTTCCCCTGAAGCTCGGACCAGACGTTCCAGTGCGAATGCCTTTTTAGTGATGTTAGGGGGAAAAGTAGCTCCCATCCAAAAAGGCCACATAATCACTTCATGCTAACACTTATGGAGGGCTGAGAGAATTCATTAGGAATGCACCGAGCGAGAAGCGTGAAACGGCTGGAGGTGGCCCCGGGTGCATCTGGAGGGAATAAACCAGCAGCACCAATCGATTCAGCTAAGTTGATTTGAGGCTTGGAGACCAGTTCCCTTAAGGTGGTTCTGACCGGATAGACAGGAGGAACAAGGTGGAGGAAGCTTTGCAGATGCCTGCAATCAACAAGGGAGACCCTAGCTAACCACTAAATACAAAGACTACAAGAGGTGCTTCACTGACTAGAAGAAGAATCTCTTAAAAAGATGGTTCGGAGAGCCGAGATTAAAATATTGTGGATATTTGTCACGTTTCTGTAAATCAGGGGACCAAAAAGCCATTTGTGTTTCTCCAGATTGGGAGCAGGAGGGGACGGGTGTTGCTGATGGATGCTGAGTCCTGTTCCTGTTTGTCTTGGCAGAGATCCGGGAGGCGTTTAAGGTGCTGGACCGCGATGGGAACGGGTTCATTTCCAAACAGGAACTGGGAATGGCCATGCGGTCCCTGGGGTACATGCCCAGCGAGGTGGAGCTGGCCATCATCATGCAGAGACTAGACATGGATGGTGAGTCATGCACACACGCGCCGGTCATAGAGAAATGTGCTCTGAAACCAAGATTTTCTACACTTAAAAATGATTTCTCATCAGGTTCAAAACAACAAAATCCCCATTAATGGTGTCGTGAATTGCCTAAACGTGAATTTGCTGATTCATCCATGCACGACTTTGAGCTCTGAGTCATCTTTGGCCATCTTTTCTCCTCCATTTTCATACGAAATTTCCAAACTGGGACCAAATGCTGAAAAAAAAACAGTTTATAATCTTTTTAATGCACAATTGAGGTTAAAAATTAGGCCTTAGCTGCATTTCAAGATGGTGGTAAAACAATAAATCCATAGTAGTCGAGGTTTCTGCTGTCAGAGAGGTGACGTGGATTTATTTAGGCTCATTTCTCCGTCTCGGTCCCTTTGAACCTTTAGCCTCACACAGGATTCAGTCAGCTACAGGAACACTGAAACGCAGCCAGGCTCTTTTTGTTTGCCGGCAGATTTGCTTCCAAGCCCAGTTTCAGGCAAAGCCATTAGCCATAACTGTGTCAGACACCCTATAAAGACTGTTCCTGGCCCGTTAGAGGAATATTTACGCCTTTGAAAAGTGTCGCTCTGGCTGGCCGAAGGGGGAGAAACTCTGAAACCTTCACGGCTCCGTGTTAAAGTTTAAGAAGGTGGACGACTTCTATTGGTCCGGAGAGCCTGGCTGCTCTGGTGCCGGGGGCTGCTCTGGCTTCAATTTGAAGAGTCGGGCCGGGGGATTTTAGAGCTGACAAAGATCCCAGCAGCTTTAGTCCTGCTGTTTATTTATTTATCCACCAGGCTCCCATTTACATCTCTCTGCTCAGAAGCTCTGTCCTTTAGAGGACCTGGCTGAGGGCTTAAAAACATTGGTTAAACTTAAACATTAGGGATTAGACGTTAAAACAGGAATCCTGCCGGAGGTATTTGTATCCCAGAGATACCCTGCAAACGGACAGAGCTGTGTGCGGACTTCCTGCTGAGTCAGCATCCTCAGATGTGGCCACACGCAGCAGATGAGTTGGAGCTAGCTGTCAGAAAATGCCTGTTTCCATTCTCTGAACTGTGGAGCCCAGGAGAAATATCTCCGCCGTTTGTGGAAATGCAAAAACTCACCTTCATGAAAAACTTAAGCTTATCCGTTAAATGTCCAAGTCTCCATCGGACAGCCCTTCAGTCAGAGTGATGAAAAGAGAGAGAAGATTTTGTGGCATAAAATCTCTGATTCCTCCTCCGACTGCGGCAGATCTCCTGAGATTGGACTTGTTTTTAAATGGTGGTCATTTGCTCTTTTGCAGAACCTGTTAGCTTAGCTCCCCTGCCAGCTTTGCTCTGTTTGCCCTCTTCTGAACGTCACATTTACCTCATTTTACCTTCAGATTAAGCTTAGATTTAGATTTAGCTTAGATATGAACAGCGCCTCGCTTGTTTTTGTGAGATCCTGGTTACGTTTAAGCCACAAAAGCACTTAGAAAACAGACATAGTTTGGGCTAACGTCTGTAACTTCCTTATTGGGTCTGTTACAAATGAATGAAAGCTCTTTAAAAGCTCACTTGTTTGCAGTAGTTCTGGCAACGATTTGAACAGACACCGTTTTTTTTGGTGTTGTTTTTAACGACGCGTGTTCAGGTTGTGCGTTTGCTTCTCTTATGGAGGTAATTATGAGTTACAGCCTCATTCGGATTCACTCATCCTCCCATTCACCATCTTCACACCTCCTAACTGCTTCACTTCCAGCATAAATCAGTTTGCAATTTAAAGACCACGCACGCTTTATTAGGATTAATGACCAGAAGTGAAAGAGGGGAGTTGGTTGTTTTCTAACCACTGATGCTTCTCTGCTTGTGGCCTCGGAAAAGCCAGTCTACGTTATTACTGAGCTTTATGTAAGGGGTTATGTGCTTTTATTTAGTCATTCAATTGGTGAAACTACCAAAGGAAAAGCTGTATTTAAAAAAAATATAAAGCTATCTACACCATTAATCTACATTAAACTTTGTTTAGACGTTAGTTGTGCAGCTTAAATATTAAACCAGTGATTATTAAGTTGCTGTTGGTTACATTTAAAGCCCCCTGGGGAGCATAAAACAGTGTTTTATGCTTTATGCATTGTTGGGATGAATAGCACTGCTGCTTTTCTGTGCTGTCACTAACTTTCTTTCCAATGTTCAGTATTCGGATAATCCGTTATGATAATTAAACCACATCAACCCCCCAGAGGGAAAACTAAAAGGGCTCGCTCAGTCTAATCAGACACTTTCCCTCAGCTTCAACAGCTATCAGATGCTTCAAATCCCAGCAGAATTCAGTTCTTTTGTTCAGTTCTTTGTTGTCAGAGGTGTTTTGAACTGAATGATTTAAGCGTAATTACCTTTAAACTGAAGCAACAGACACCGAGGGGAGCTGCATTTCCCCTCGAGCCCCCACTTTCAGCTCCTCCACACAACTCAAACGCCGTCAATTTAGCATTTTCTGCTTCATTCTGCCTCTGTTTTCTGTTTCCAGGTGACGGGCAGGTGGATTTCGAGGAGTTCATGACGATTCTCGGCCCCAAGCTGCTGTCGTCGGAAACCAGGGAGGGCTTTCTGGGCAGCACGATAGATACCATCTTCTGGCAGGTAAATCTCCTACATGTTGAATTAAACCGGCTGTTTTTGTACGAGAAAATTACCTTCAGCTACTTTTGCACATTTCAGATACAGCTGCCTTTGGTTGGGTTTCTATTAGAAAATGTGTTCACGGCCTCCACTCAGGCAAAAATGGCTTTTGAGTTCCCTGAATCGTCCACTCGGGCTTATTTTACATTAATCACTGTCATCCTGCTCGGCACACGGGTCAC